GAGGGAGGGAGGGTGGTCCTCAGCTAACACAGGACATGTCCTGTTAGCTGAGGACATGTTAGCTGAGGACATGTCCTGTTAGCTGAGGACATGTTAGCTGAGGACATGTCCTGTTAGCTGAGGACATGTTAGCTGAGGACATGTCCTGTTAGCTGAGGACATGTCCTGTTAATTGAAGACATGTCCTGTTAATTGAAGACATGTCCTGTTAGCTGAGGACATGTCCTGTTAGCTGAGGTAGTCCTGTTAATTGAGGACATGTCCTGTTAGCTGAAGACATGTCCTGTTAGATGAGGACATGTCCTGTTGAAGACATGTCCTGTTAATTGAGGACATGTCCTGTTAGCTGAGGACATGTCCTGTTAGCTGAGGACATGTCCTGTTAATTGAGGACATGTCCTGTTAGCTGAGGACATGTCCTGTTAGCTGAGGACATGTCCTGTTAGCTGAGGACATGTTAGCTAAGGACATGTTAGCTGAGGACATGTTAGCTGAGGACATGTTAGCTGAGGACATGTCCTGTTAGCTGAGGACAGGTTAGCTGAGGACATGTTAGCTGAGGACATGTTAGCTGAGGACATGTCCTGTTAGCTGAGGACAGGTTAGCTGAGGACATGTTAGCTGAGGACATGTTAGCTGAGGACAGGTTAGCTGAGGACATGTTAGCTGAGGACATGTTAGCTGAGGACATGTTAGATGTTTGTAAGACTTTAAAATGATACATTTGAAAGTTCTGACCTGTCAAAGTTCTGCTCCACGCTCACCACAGGACTCAGGTGGTCGTAGACTGAGAAAAGTGGGTTTCCTGAGCGAGCAATGAAGGAGCTGTGAAGAAATAAAACACTCTTTAGATTTTATCTTTAAACAGAAGAAATGGGGAAACAAGGTTTTACAGAAACTAATAGTTTTCTGTTAAATATGTCACGAACATTTTAGAGTTATTGTGGATAAAACCGTCTCAGAGCACATTAGATCCATTCTCCTGACAGACTCAAACAGGTAAAGCTGGAGTGATAAAGGCAGCAGGTGATGACGTCTGAAAACTCTCCTGCTACAATCAGAGAGCCGGAGCTCCTCCGCAGACGAGAGTTCACGACCTGTGAAATGTTAGAAACATAAAGCACTGTCTGCCCACACCCTCAGTGACAACTTAATGACTTATTAATGCAGAATTAACTGTGTGCACAGGATCAGTCTGATGATATTTCACTGCTGTGTGCAGTGCAGCAACATTTCCCTCCATAACATCATCAGTCAGCAGCTTCAGCCCCAGAAACAAAGCCAACAGAACAGGAAATATGAGGACATCTTTAACAGACGCCTCCAACAAACCAACAGTTTTAAGGAGCTGGGTCGTCTTTAAAAACACATTAATAAAACATATTAAACCTTTAGATGATGCAGCCAAATGTCCACGAAACCTCATATCTCCAAAACATTTTCAGGAAATTAAAAACAGCTTTGCTTTTTAATGAAATAAACGGTGTTCTTTTTTTCATTGGTTAGGCATCAATAAACCACCAACAGGTACAAGGCTGACCACTGGAACTGATTTAAGTAGAAGCAGGAAAATGATTCAAAAATACAAGGTTTTTGTTAAATAGTAACAAAACGCATGATTAAAACTGTGAATATACCTTAAACAGGACTCCTTTATAATGTATGCTGTTTATTTATTATTATCTATGTTCTTTTCATAAAATGTAAGATTTGGTACAATTAACCAGGAACAAGTTAGTGACAGGAAGAGAGTTATGGAGACGGTTGGTTGGTTGGTTGGTTGGTTGGTTGGTTGGTTGGTTGGTTGGTTGGTTGGTTGGTTGGTTGGAGGAAGGGAGTTTTGGAGGGAAAGTTGATTGGTTGGAGGAAGGGAGTGGGGCACCTAGCTTCTTGCTGCAGTGATAAAACAGTTTAAAGTGCTGACGTCACACCTGCTCACCTGTAGAAGAAAGCTTTGATCCGCTCTTTGATCCGCCACAGAGGATGATGCTGTTGGTTGTGAAGGTTGACTCCCACCTTGGCCAAGATCTTAGGAGTAATGTTGGTGAAGTCATCACGGGGGTAGGAGTGGCCTAACACCTCAAACRAGTCCTGACCAATCACAGACTGAGGGGTGTGGCCTTTTGTGGAGAGGTGCCTGCATGCGTTGTTGCAGACCTCCGACAGGAGTYGATGAAGGAGGGGTCGGTGGAGGAACGAGGGGCCGAGCATCATGATGACTGATCCAGGGAGCTGAAAAAAAACAAATATTATAAATTAGTTTGGAACAGAAATACTGGATGATTTGTGTATTTTAGGAGTGCAGGGATACTGGGATCTGTTGTTCATGTTTTTAGAACCATTTCAAACTCCTGCATCCCCCTGAACTCACAGGGTTCTCCCTCTGCTGAAGTCTGGACCCTCCACAGAGGTGGTTCTGACTTGTTCATCTTCCTAACAAGCAAACATGATCAGTCCTGTAATGTGACCTTGGGTCTGACCTTGGTCCGACTCCTGTAAAAGTTTAACCTCTACATAAAACCCTGTCCATCCTGGGGTTCTGCTGCGAAACGCTCCGTCTTCCTCCTGTCTGTCCGACCGCCACCGGCTGCTGGGTCGAGGTGTTTGCTGATCAATCAGACCCACTTCGGTCAACAGATTTATCATTTGCAGTCAGCGGCGGCGAGGGAACGGAGCGGGACTCGACTCAAAGGTGTGGAAATAAATGGGCAGGTTGTTGGAGGAGGTCAGAGGAGGTGAGCGCTCCGTTTATAATTACACTAATGGATTAACATCAAAAGCAGCAAAGGTTACAGTGAGCTGCTGTCCTTTTCATCACTTATTCTCAAACAAGAGACGACACAGTTGGCCTTTTGTCCTCTGAAATTTGTCCATTTCCACTCCGGCACGCTGCGGGAGCGTCCCTGAACAAGACAAAGGGTGTTGCATTGCAGAGGCATTGCAGCAGAAATGTATTATTGCTCCTAAATCCATGAAGCCTCCACCTCAGCCCCGCCGCCGGTGTCATATTATACCGAGTGGACGAGCCAGCACTGAGTCCGCACAAAGCCGGAGCGAAACAGGAAAACAGGCCGGAGCACAGCGGAGGGAAAAGTCAAAGTCATGATGGAAGGAAGGAAGGATCAGGCTGAGTTTATCACCTGCAGGGGGGAGGGGCTTTTTATCCCCACAAAATGAAACAAAACAACCATCGAATGAAACAAACATTCTCCCTCGCAGGAACTTTAATATGTTCCGTAAAGGTCACAGCGGTATTTTTCTTGTTGGTAATTTGTCTGCAAACAGACGCCAACAGAAAGGTTAGGAGCAGAGCGTTAATGTGTTTACAGCGTYTCCCGTCAGAGGAAAAATGAAGGTGTTTCAGGTGAACCATGAGGCAGGAGGACAGGTTTGAAACTTCAAGGAGAAGGGTTCCAGAGGTCGACAGAAGCACAGCAGCGTTAAGGTCCTGGACTCTGGAGACTTTCTTCAGTTTTTCATTTCTTATTCAGGTCTAACATAAAAACAGCTGCTGACTCTGAAGTCTGGATTTTAAAGACCTTTCTTCTTTTCAACAGGGAGGAAAGAGAAGCTCCTCCCCCTCTCTCTAATCCTGAGCCCGACTGCCCAATGAAACTTTCCTTTCAGTGGCTCAGATCCAGGATCTGGGTCTTTCAGTCCTGATCCCAACCTCAGGATAACAGGTGAGGGTTGGACCAAAGACGGACCACTTCACCACCACCGACTGSAGCAACGTCCTCATTACTGAGGCCCAGATCCATGGATCCATGTCCTGCTCTGTCCAACCGTCACTCAGGAACAAACCGTCCAAAACATCAAGGTCAGGGTCCAAAGACCCCAACAGAACCACATCATCTGCATACAACAGAGACCTGATCCTGAGGTTCTCAGACCAGACCCCATCCTCATCAGACTGAACCTTGAGATCCTGTCCATGAGGACCACAGAGGATCAGGGACCAGGGACAGTCCCATGAGGACCAGAGAGGATCAGGGACCAGAGACAGTTCCATGAGGACCACAGAGAGGATCAGGGACCAGAGACAGTTCCATGAGGACCAGAGAGGATCAGGGACCAGAGACAGTTCCATGAGGACCACAGAGAGGATCAGGGACAGTCCCATGAGGACCACAGAGAGGATCAGGGACCAGGGACAGTTCCATGAGGACCACAGAGAGGATCAGGGACCAGGGACAGTTCCATGAGGACCACAGAGAGGATCAGGGACCAGGGACAGTTCCATGAGGACCACAGAGA